TGAGTTCAAGGCCAGCCTGGTCTACATAGTGAGTTCCAGGACAGCTGGGACTACAGGGAGACCCTGTCTGAAAAAGACAAAAAAAAATCTATGTCAAAGACTGGCAAATGTTTTCTGAAAGCATTTGGCCTCATGGGTCATGGGGTCTGTGGGTGTGGTGGCGCACACCTCTAATTCCAGCACTCAGGAGGCAGAGGCAAGCAGATCTCTGTGAGTTCAAGGCCAGCCTGGTCTACATAGTGAGTTCCAGGACAGCTGGGGCTACAGGGAGACCCTGTCTCAAAAAGACAAAAAAAAATCTATGTCAAAGACTGGCAAATGTTTTCTGAAAGCATTTGGCCTCATGGGTCATGTGGTCTGTCTTAGCTCCTCAGCTCTGCCGCTGGTACAGCTGTGGCTTGTGTGCAAAGGGCTAGGGACGGAGAACCCCATCCTGGTTGAAGCTGGGGCATGTGGCTGCTGAAGTGGACGCAGTGTTGTCTCTGACATCAATTATGTCAGGAGTGGAAGCCAGTGAAGACCCTGGAACTGTATTTACCTTCAGTGAGCTCCACGGGTGTCCATGTAAACCAGGCTGTGTTGCTAGAGTGCCAATGGCTGAAGTTCTTCTCTGGTCTCTTCCGATGATGTCCCTCAGTCAGTGGTCACGGGACCATTCCCAGAAGTCAATGAGCAGCCGTGACATCTCAGATATACGGTGGTCTGTGGCGGTCTGAGGAAGCGAGGTTTGGTTTTAGACTGGGAGCCGTCATAACTTGGAAGAGGGCTGCGATTGGATGCCATGGTTAGAAACTGGGGGGATGGCGTGAAGAGAAGTTATAACTGGTAAACAATTCGTAGCCATACTTTTTGGCAGGAAAAGGGGCTGGTGCTTTGTGGGTGATGGTGAGCTTTCCTGCCTGAGCTTAGACACATTTAGATGTGCAGTGGCCTAGAATTACCTCCCTTCAACCTGGGCAGGTGCCTGAGACATTGACTAGGAGGATGACAGGTCCACTGGGCAGGGAGGGCCAGCTGGGAACCGGGGGTATGCCAGATTCTCCCTCAGCCCAGGAAGCTGCCAGTCCCCTTGGTTTATTCTTGGCACTGTTGTGCTATGACCAGGAGACTCAGCCCAGCTCTAGAGTGATGCACTCAGGCCACAGCAGCTGCCCAGAGTGGCAAGTTGGGGGTGAGCACGCTTGGACCCTGTATTAGTTACTTTTCTGTTGCTGTGTTAGAAACACTGACCAAAGAAACTTATAGAAGGAAGAGTTTATTTAAGCTTATGGTTCCAGAGGAATTACAGTCTGTGATGGCAGGAGGCACAGTGGCAGGAGGAGACATGGTGGCAGAGGCGGCTGGAGCAGGAGCAGAAGCTAAGCTCTCACATCTTCAAGCAGGCACAGGAAGCAAGAGAGCGACTTGAGATCCAGCAAGGCTTAGGAACTCTCTAAGCTGCCCTCAGTGACCTGCTCCCTCCAGCATGGCCACACTTTCTAAGACCTCCCAAAACAGTGCCACCAACTGGGGACAAAATGTCCACATACTTGGACCCCATAGGGGATGTTCTCATTCAAACCACCACAGACACTGCCCAGACCTGGGTGGCTGGGAGGACGTGTGCAGAGCACATTAAGGAGGAGGAAGTGGCTGTGCTGGCTCTCACCTGTTGTACTTGCCCACAGATGTGAACGAGTGTTTGTACGAAGAACTCCATGCCTGCCCTATAGGACAGCAGTGTGTGAACGTGGAGGGCTCTTACCAGTGCATCTCTACTGAGCAGCCTACCTCTTCTTCCCAGGAGCTGAACCACACAGGTGAAGGTAACACTGGGCTCTCAGATGGAGTGGGGGATGATACAGAGGTTGTTTCAAGGGTAGACACAGACCTTAGATACTCCTGTAATCTGCCTACAAGGGTGTGAGGTCCAAACTCTGAAATCAGGAACAGAGGAGGGTCACAGGACACTGGGAGAGTAAAGAGATTGTGAGGAGTCATAGGCAGATAGGACACACTTTATTCATCAGCACAAAGACTGCTAGGTAAGCAGACGCCCAGCAGGTACCTAGGTACACGCCAATACGTGCAGGCCACACACAGGCAGAATCAGATACACATGAATATGATACACAGGTGGCATGGGGGTAGGCACACAAGCCTACACACACACACACACACACACACACACACACACTCACACACAGAGGCAGGCTGGGCAAGGCTCTGACCTGAAGGTCATATTTTACAGACTCATACAAAGGAGAATTCTGCCAGGAATAGTTACATACAGATCATATCACTGTTTACTTTTGGGGTTTCTGGACATCCTGTGTCAGCCATCTTGTGCTGACTCATAGCCCTCCGATGTTTGACATTAGTCATCTTGGCTCATGCTAGATATCCATCAACAGCATGTGATCTAAACATCAACTAGCCTGGGCAGCCTTTGTTCAGAGGGCCCCCTGGCTCCAGGCACAGAAGGGCCACTGGGTTCTTGCCGCCACGCCTGCTCTCCTGGCAGGGCAGTCTTGCATCTGTTTTTTAATGTAGCAGATGTTTAGTTAGAACATGCTTTGTGCTAGAAACACTATAATATCATGATCATGTCAGAACCCTGCTCTCGGATGCTCCTGGATACTGGTCATGCCTGGTGTGTGATTAGGACAGTTGTCATTTCCTGAGATGCTCAAAAGTGAAAGGGACAAAGAAGTATTTGTATAGAGACCAGAAGGGTATGGCAGGTCCATCTTTGGCTTTGTATGGATGACCTAAAGGCAAAGAACTTGAACAGGGTGTCAGCAGGGACACTTGGGAGGAGCACCTGGCTCTGTTCTGGTTGGGAAGGATGGGTGGGCCCATGAGGTGACCCTGGGGCCGGGTATGTGTAACTGGCTTCTACCACTCTGGGGTTCGCAGTCAGAAATAACTACACAGTGGGCCTCCTTTATCTTCGGTTTCATTTTCTGAGGTTTCCATTGCCTGTGATCCGGAAGTAATTCCTAAGTTTTAAATTACAAGCTGTTTGGAGTAGTGCAATGAAATCTCATAGCATCCAGCTCCATCCTGCTCTGGATGTGAGCCATCTCTAAGTCCTGCAACTCCACACTGTGTACACCGTCTGCCCATTAGTCACCCCACAGCTGATTCAGTTGTCAGACGCTCTGTGACCATATCACAGTGTTGGTGACCCCCATGAGGTAGCCGTGGCCTCCACGCCACCTCACATAATAGTAAGGGGTGGGTGCCGTGAGTCAGGTCTTTTGAGACAGAGACAACCTCATGGTACATTGTAATGACTGTTGTGTTTTATCATTCTCCCTGTTCATCTCTTAATGTGTCTTACTGTCTAGTGCATGAGTTAACCTTCATCAGCAGGATGTATGTGTAGGACAGAATGGTATGTGTCACTCAGGACTACCTACACTTTCTGGCACCCACTGAGGGGAGGGGAGTGTGGGTGGCAGCTGTTAGGTTCCCCTGCTGGCAAGGGGTTGCTGTAGTTTGAGACATGGGAAGGTGCTGTCCTCATAAGGAGAGGTCTTGGCTGGGGCTGAGCAGGGCGGGCTCAAGCTTGAGGCTTGCTGATGCCTTTGGTGCAGGGCAGGAAGAAGGAGTAGGTGGAGCCTAGGTGGGGTTCTGGCAAAGGTGATGGGAGAGACCTAGCTTGTCATCCTTATTTTGACAGTAAGAGTCCAGACAGAGGACACTGAGTAGGGACACCCAGGTGCTGCCCGAGTTGGACATTTGGTGCTGGGTACCATGTGCCCCTCTGGGGCCGTCAGCATCCAGGTGGCATATAACGGTGGGCATGGCAGAGAGAGGAAAGGGCATGTGTGACTGGGACCCCAAGACTTAGGTCCAGGGTGAGAGGCTTGGAAAGGTGCGAGGGAGGCAGGGAACTGTGTCTGGGAGGCAGGAGAAGGAGCTGGAGCGGCCAGAGCCCTGAACCCCATGCAAAGCTTTGGGGGACCAGCACCAGCAGCAAGAGCACAGCAAAGTGACATCAGCGCTCTGGGCGGCGCCTTTGGAGGGTGCGGTGGGGAGACCCTCGTGTGGATGATGGAGGTGTGGGAGGAATGGGTGGAGGGTCAGCAAGAGAAGTCCCCATGAACCGCATCGTGAGGAGAGACAGGGACACAGCGTACACTTGGAGCTGGCACCCGGCAGTCTGTTGAAGTCAGAGGACCCTGGGGTGCATTTGGTACTAGCAGGAGGGATCTGGTCAAACCTGTGGCTCTTAAGCTCCTGAGGTCAGCCTGCATGAAACTCGGATGGCAGAGGAGGCAGCCAGGGTCCAGCTGGAAACCAAGCATGGCCCAGCTGCTGGGGTGCGAAGTGAGCAAGTGGACCCACTCACTGCTTCCACCCCGGGGAAGGGGATTACATTAACATTACGTAGATGGGGGCAGGTTAGCCTTTATGTGCTTGCTCCCTCATGTGGCTCTGAGGCTTGGCGTTAACCGTGTCCTGAACCCCGTTGCCAGGGAACTTGTGCTTGGTAACAGACCGTAAGGAAGATGAGGGCAAAGATGAGACACGGAGGTGAGGGTTAGACTAAGGAGAGTGCCAGGGTGGATGGGGCCTGGGGTGCCGTCAGGCCCAGGGACCTGGTGACTGGAATGCGGGGAAGGGCTGAGGATCAAGCTGTGAGGCTGTTGGGTACAGCCACTAAGGCAGAACAGGGGCCCTACAATGAAGCCACTCTAAAGATGTCCACCTGCTAATCCAGGATCTGTGCAAGTGTCACCTGACATGGCAAAAAAAACCCAAAACAAAACAAAACAAAACAACAAACCTGTGGATGGGATTAATCTAGAGATGCTGGATAATCCTGGAGGTCCAAACAAAACAAAACAAAAAACAAACCTGCTAATCCAGGATCTGTGCAAGTGTCACCTGACATGGCAAAAAAACCCCAAAACAAAACAAAACAAAAAACAAACCTGTGGATGGGATTAATCTAGAGATGCTGGATAATCCTGGAGGTCCAATGTCATCACAGATGTCCTTATGAGAGGGAGGCAGGAAGCACAGGGTCAGGAAGATGTGAAGGGGATGTCCGGGGTAGAGCCAGAAGGACACTGTCCTGCTGGTCTGGAAGATGGAGGGAGGAGGGAGGCATGGAACGTGAGGGTCTCTAGCACATGGGCAGAAGAAAGGACTCTCTCTGGAGCCTTTGGGGGAACGCAGCCTCTTGCCACCTTGATTTAAGCCTCTGACGTCAGAACTGGGTGGGAACACCTGTTGTGGTAACCTGTCACAGTGATCACAGGACACTCATGCCTGGGTTCAATTTACAGCCTTGGAGGTGGAGCCCGTGTGAGGGTCCACCTCAGGAGGCTAGTGGCACAGGGGCCAGGGGAGAGGTGGGAGATGGGGCAGCAGGAGGGAGGGTAGTGTCATGGCAAGAGAGGCTCTCCTCTACCCCCTAAGGGCCATCTTGCCCCAGCCACCTCTCTTCCATCCCACCTCAAAGTCTTTGAATTCTTTATCATCTCATTTCATCATAAAACATCAGAGCGCATCTCTAAGAGATAGGAGATGCTAAAATCCAAAATGCCACCCCCTATTATCGTTCCTAGGTCATCAAGGCAACTGCTCCTTTATCTTATCCCATGTCCAGTCTGTTGTCATCAAAATGAGGTCTGTTTGAGCTGGAATTTTGATTGTGTCCACTACTTAGTTCTGGTGGCTTGGAGCTGTTTACTTTATGTCCCTCCTGCCTCTCACTATCCCGGGTCCCACCCCCTCCTGCAGGCTTGTCCTATCTCTTGCTGTGATGAAAGCGACTTGGAAGGCACGTGTTTATTTGGCTTCCAGGGTATAGCCCACTATGGAGGGATAGGGCAGGGCCCCCGAAGCAGAAGCTGAAGCAGAGACCACAGAGGAGCGCTGCTCACTGGCTCGCTTCCCCGTTTGCTCAGCTACCTTTCTTATACAGCCCAGGACCATCTGTGCAGGGGCGGTACCAGTCACAGTGGGCTGGGCCCTCCTACATCAATTAGCAATTAAGAAATTGTCCCACAGACATGCCCACAGGCTAATCTGCTGGAGGAAATTCCTCAATGGACAGTCCCTCTTTCCAGGTATGTGTAGGTATGTGTCAAGTTGACAAAACTATGGCAGGGCTCAAGTTTGTGATTGCCTCCCTGGGGAGTCCTTGTGTTTCCTGTGCTGGATACTCAGCTCTGGAGCAGGGACCTTCCCGCACACCTTTCATTGGCCCTGCGTGTCTTTAGTGCCTGGTCAGATTGTCAGAGCATTCAGAGAATGTTTCTGCAGCATAGATATATGGACGGCAGAGTGGATCCCCAGGCACCGCGGAGGCAGCTCGGGAGTCATGCCGTCTCCTGTCCCTGTACAAGGTTCACCTGCTGGCCCTTGCACTCTGGAGGCTCTGCGCCACTTCCTGAGGACCCCTGGCCTGGATTCTTGGTGCCCTCAGCCTCTGGCCTTTCTATAGGTGGGGTGTGTGCTATCATGTCCCAGCCTCACCTTTTCTTCCCAGATCACTCAAATCCAGGCATGGAACCCTTACTGCGGGTACATCCTACTGCTGGGTAGGGACAGATTAGATCTAGGAAGAGACCAATGCCACCATCTTCCTCCTCAGTGGAAGATATCATGATGTTTTATAGGCAGATGCTGACAAAATAGCTGTGTCCCTCCCCCTGCCAACTATCATTCAACTCTGGGCACGGAGGGGAAGTAGCTCATTCCCTGGGGCTCAAGGATTATGGATCCTTTGGGAACATGGCAGACATGGTAGAGGCCACTTTGAGCATCTCTTCCATGAGATGACCTTGAAATGGAAACTCAGGCT